GGACCAACCCACACTGAGGTCTGTGAACTGGCCCCGGTGGTCAGACATGGCCTGCAGGATCATGGAGAAGTACCCCTTCCTGTTTATGTAGAGGGAGGCCTGGTGGTCCAGGGCACGGATGGGGATTTGCATCCCATCTATTGCCCCCCCGCAGTTGGGGAAGCCCAGGGCACCAAACCCCTGGATGACCGCGTCCAGGTCGGTAAGGAGGACAACTCTGCGGAGCAGCACCCTGTTGATGGCCTTCACCACCTGCAGAGAGACACACAAAACCGAGGCTCGCTGGGGTGCCCGGGTGGCTGGGAGTGTTCGTTCCCCGCCACTGCCCCACGCCCCACTCTGAGGAGCAACTCCAGCTGCAATCCTGGCCACCGCAGGCGATCTGTAACATGGCCTGGACAGACCGAACTGTCCCGGGGAGGGCACTTTCACCACCTTCCCCCCGTTGTCTCTGGGGCAGCCCATATCCTCCTTGCAGCCCCCCCTACTGGACGCAGGCTAGGCTTCAGGGTGGTGGAGCCTGCTCAACCCTTGCATATGGGGACTCACAGGTTCGCTGAACCCCTCTCCTGGTTTGGGAGGGGGAGATCGCACCCGAGGACCTGTCCTAAGGGCAGGCAACTCAAGAACCAGATCTAAGTCAGGCAGTGGGTCACTTGCAGAGCTCCAGGAAGGTGTCCTTCTTCATCCTGAATTTCTGGGTCCACTCTTGGTCTCCCCAGTGCTCCAGTATGATGTGGTCCCACCATTTGGTGCTGGTGTCCAGACACCAGATGCGGCAGGGCACGCTGGCATCCGGGCGCTACTCCTCCAGGGCCCCCAGAGGGGACAGGAGGAGAGCCAGGGGGCTGGCCTGCAGCAGAAGGTGCCAGGCAGCCTCCAGCAATTGCTGCCAGGATTACAGCAAGACGTTCAACATGAGCACCAGAGTGCACAGGAGCAGCTCTGGCTCCATGGTGCTGAGTGCTGTGATGTCCCAAACGAGAGCAACCAAAGCAGACAGAGAGGAAAACGCTTTGCTCTCCCTCGGCGAGGTAGGCAAGCAAGCGGGAAAGCTGAGAACCGGCTGTCCAGGGGGGTCTCCTTAAGCACGAGCCTCAGATAGCCTCAGACAGCAACCACACAAAGCAACTACTGACCTGATGCCCTGCTGGAACCAGTTTCAGTTGCCCTTAAATGCAATCCAGTGTCCAATCAGTGTGGACGCACTATTTCGAAATAGCAAAACGCTATTTCGAATTAGTTTTTGTATCTAGATGCGTTATTTCGATTTAGCTTATTTCGAATTAACTAATTTGAAACAAGTTAATTCGAAATAGCACTGTAGTGTAGACATACCCTAAGAGAGGTTATCCAATTGGTTATGCACCCACCTAACAGTAGCCTTTAATAGTAATGTTATATTTCCCTAATTTATTGATAAGAAGGTCATGTATCAAATGCTTTACTAAAGTTTAAGTATACCATATTTACCACTTCCACCTTGTTATCCTATCAAAGAAAGCTATAGGGTTGGTTTGACATGATTTGTTCTTAACAAACCCATGCTGACTGTTACTTACCATCTTATTATCTTCCAGATGTTTGCAGATGGATTCCTTGGTTATTTGCTCCATTATCTTTCCTGATACAGAAGTTAAGCTAACTGGTCTGTAGTTTCCTATGTTATCCTTATTTCCCTCTTTTATAGATGGGTACTAAAATTGCCCTTTTCCAGTCTTTTGGAATCTCTTCCATCTTCCATGACTTTTCAAAGATGATGGCTAATAGCTTGGATACCTCCTCAATTGGCCCCTTGAGTATTCTAGGATGCATTTTATCAGGCCCTAGTGACTTGAAGATATCTAACTTTTCTATTTTTTTTTAATTAGTTCTTTACTTAATTTAACTTCTGAACCTACCCAATTTTCACTGGCATTCATTATGGTAAGCATCCAATTGCCACCAACCTTCTTGGTGAAAACCAAACGAAGAAGTTGTTAAATGTCTCCTTCATTTCCACATTTTATGTTATTGTTTTTCTCTCTTCATTGAGCAATGGTCCTACTTTGTCCTTGGTCTTCCTCTTGCTTCTAAAATATTTGTAGATTTTTTTCTTGTTACCCTTTAATGTCTTTAGCTAGATTGAGCTCATTTTGTACCTTTGCCTTTCTAATTCTGCCCCTACATACTTGCGTTATTTATTTATATTCATCCTGTGTACTTTGGCCTGGTTTCCATTTTTCGTAAAAGTCATTTTTATTTTTACATCATTCAAGATCTCCTGGTTAAGCCAAGGTGCTCTCTTGTCATACTTCCTATCTTTTCTACACAGTGAAATGGTGTGTTCTTGTGTCCTTAAAAATGTCCCTTTCAAAAACTGTCAACTGTCTTCAACTGTTTTTCCTCTTAGTCTTGCTTCCCATGGGATCTTATCTACCAGGTCCCTGAATATACTAAAATCAGCTTTCTTGAAATCCATTATCTTTATTTTGCTGTTCTCATTTCTACCATTTCTTAGAATCATTAACTCTATCACTTTCACCCAAGCTGCCTTCCACTTTCAAACTCTCAACCAGTTCCTCCCTATTTGCAAAAATCACATCTAGAATAGCCTCCCTTCTAGTAGCTTTCTTCTCCTTCTGAAGGATGGGAAGTGGGCTGGACAGAAATGAAAGTCAGATTTTATCAGAAGTGGAGCTGCTCTGTCAGGAAGAGATAGGAGATTGGTGTACAAAGACAGAAGATGTTTTTACTAAGTCAAGTGCTGACCTTTTGGGAGCTTATGCAAGGAAGGTCTCCTACACTGTGGACCTGTTTTCCCTCTAACATTTTCTATCCTTGGGCGAGTTGAATTTTCTTTTGGGTGGCTTGAAATTTCTTATATGCAACACCAATATTGAGGTAGTGTGTGAATGTGTACCACGGATACAAACAAAACACATACGCATAGTATAAAGCCCCAGAAAAAGAATTAACACATGGCTTCAGGGTTTGTAGATAGATGCATGTTTCAAAGAGCTTGCAAATAAGGTTTCATCCTACAAAACAACTAGCATCACACCTAGTACTTCCTACTTTTGACTCAAAAGAGATAGAACTTTACCACAAAGAAAGATCTGGCCTTAATGCAATACAATATACCATGTATTAATTAGTAACAAAAGATTTTTAAAAAATTATTAAAATCAGAGTTTTAGATATTTGCAACTTGCCAAAAAAATCTATTAAAAGAATCTTTTTATTTCTTACCTTAAGCCATTAACACCTTCTGTAAATTTTGTTCAAAATGTAACCATCCAAATGTCTCCTGGAACACACCATACCCCATGCAGCCTGCTTCTCTCCAACCCAGCCAGCCAGAGAGGACTTCAGCAAATGAATCAGGGACACCCCAAACAAACTCAGCCCCTCACTTTCACCTCACTGCAAAGATGCCAGCATCCGCCCACTCCCTTTCTCCCATCTACCCCTGTGCAATCTGCTCCCCCCAGCCCAGGTGGGGGTGGGATAAAATCCTGCTTCTCAAACTAACAGGCACCAGCAGTCTGTCCTGTTCTAACTCCCAGTTAAAGCAAAAGTTATTCACACCTTCCCCAACTCACAGCACAAACTCCCTCCCTGCCTCCACCTCACCCCAATGCCAGCACCCACTCACCTCCTCTTTCCCCCATTTATCCCATGCAGTCAGTCCCTTATCTCCCCCTTCCCAGGAGGCTTGAGAATGCTGTGTTCCTGCCTCTTTCTCCTCATGCAGACAGGACTCTCCAAACTCCCCTTCCCTCCTCTCTGACTCCGCCTCAGCCAATCACTCCCTCCTCCTCCTCCTCTCCTCCAAGCCACTTACTGTCTCCTTATCTCCCTTATTTACCTTCTCTTGGAGCTACTCAAACACAGAGCAGCTCTGTTTAGCTTCTTGCTTAGTGATATGACGCCCTGCCCACCGCTGGTCAGCTGAGCTCCCTGCCTGCATAGGACCTTTGAATTTCAGAGTGGAACTCAGAAAATAGTTGCGTGGTCACAGCTCTGAATCTATAACCAAGATTTCCTAAAATCTATAATCAAGTGCCCACCCACATAAAAACAACATCCAAATTCATATTAATACAATGGTTTAGAAAATACAAATATTTCCAAAGCTATAATTATTCCAGGGTCAACACACTAATCTTTCTTTCAACCAAACATCACTTATATGTGGGGGGGAAATAGTGTATCAGGGGAGTTTGACCTCACAATCCTTAGCTCCACACAGCACAATCATCTACCACTTGAACTAAAGGAACAGCTGGTAGAAGAAAGCTATTAACCAAATGAGCCCCTAAATAGGAACATGATACACACTTTACAAGTGGTGTTATACAATTATATATGAAAGAATAGTGGAGTGTTGGGTACCAGTTTCCTGGGATCTGTTCCGGACTCTGGGTGAAGAGAGTGGTCTAGCAGTTAAAAGCAATGGTTACAAACAGTATGTCAAGCCAACAAATTTGGCACATTTGTTCTGAAAGACAGTGCAGCCAAGCAGATGTGATTAGGTATCTCTGATGTTAGGTGACATCAGTTCTGAGTTTTCCCAGAAGTGATGTTTTATAACTCTCAGCTATGCTATTTGTTAATTTAAGGGAATGAATGCTGGAAGGGTTAGGAGCCCTTATTTGCATTAAGTGTTATAAAGTGCAAAGAAATATTAAAATCACTCCTAAAAAGATGTGAAGTCTGAATCTATGAATTCCTTCTCTCACCTCCAAAGCACCTCCTCCTAAGCCAAAGGGCATTTCATGGGGGAATGCCTCTCTCTCTTTCTTTCATGTTGCCAGGCATTAATGGCTGCCAAATATGCAGATGTCATACAAGAGCTGACATTTGGTGGACTGGTAAACTGAGTAGAATTCAGTTCCAAACATAAGATTAAATGATGAGGAAAAGTCATTTTCTGGGTAAATCAACTTATTACAATGTGTAATCACTTTTAAACAAACAATATTAAGGTAAAAGATAGAATACCTAAAATCTATTACCTGCATTGTGTCTGGCAATGTACCCAAGTGCCCAGGCTGCAGCTTCCTTTACTCCAGGGTCAAAATCTTCCAAACAAATCACAAGTGTATCCAGAGCTCCACAATCAACAATTGCTTGAGCTAGCTGAGGAGAATGTTTACCAACAGCTCTTAACACAAACGCAGCTGCTTTCTTGTAGAAACGCTACACACATTGGAAACAAAACATACATTTTTACTATCAATTACTTTAAACATCAAAAAGATCAGAACAAATACTAAAAGTAGTATTTTTTATTACTGTTGATTAATGCCTATTGCAGTAGCACATAAGGATCCAAATTAGGGATCAAGGCTCCATTGCACAAGACTCTGAATAAGCAATAACACATACAGATCCTGGCCTACTCAGCTCACAAGCTAAGGGCAGGTCTACACTGAGGAGTTATTTCAAAATGACTCCCCTTATTTTGAAGTAAGAAGGTGAGCATCTACACAGCAAGCCCGTTATTTCAAAATTATTTTCAAACAGGCTTCTTATTTTGAAATAATAAACCCTCATTTCATGAGCAATAACACCTATTTCAAAATTGCTGTTTCGAAATAGGGTGAGTATGGATGGTGCAGCTGTGCTTATTTTGAAATAATTGGCCTCCAAGGCTTCTCACAGCTGCCCTGGTGGCCACTCTGTCCACACCCCCAAAACTCTAAAGCTTCTCTTCCCCTGAAGGCTTTAAAGCTTCAGGAAGAAGGGAAAGGGCTACTTCTACTGTGCCACACAGCAGAACACTGCACAGCCTTCCCTGCTGGCATGGCAAACCTCATCGCTCCTTCCAAGAAACCTCTGGCTGTAAGCATGCTGAAGTCCACCACCTCTGAAGTCCCTAGACAGGGCTCCATCTTGGACTGGTGCGGAGATCCTGGTTCTCATAAAGGTCTGGGGTGAGGAGATGAAGAGAGGGTTACTCACCCTCTGCAGTAACTGAGGTTCTTCAAGATGGATGTCCCTGTGGGTGCTCCACCTTAGGTGTTTGGGTGCCACAGCATGCCTGTCCGGAAGATTTCAATAGCAATGCTAGTGACAGGTAATTTGCTCATGTGCAGCACACTCTCCACGCTGGGCAGCTAATGTGCATGCACAGGCTACAAGCCCTTCATTTTCTTCTCTGCCCCAGCAGGGATGCGTGATGAGGGCTTGACAAACAGCAGTGAAACCTACTTGCCAGACCTGCACTGCACATGCGCAAGACTCGCATTGCGCATGCGCGCATCGCTGGCGAACAGGGCAACAGGCTGAAATCTACTCACCATGGGTGAGTAGATTCAGTGATTTGTTGAGCCCTGGTGATGATGCACCAAAGCAGAGGGGAGGAAGTGTGGGTGGTGGATCACCCACAGGGACACCCATCTCAAAGAACCTCAGTTACTGCAGAGGGTGAGTAACCCTCTCTTCTTCTTTGAGGAGTGTCCCTGTGGGTGCTCTACCTTAGGTGATTATGAAGCAGAGTGTCCGCTGGAGGCGGGAGCTTCAGTCGGCGTAGTGTCTTTATGGACAGCCATGAGAATGGAGTGACCGAACAGGGTTCCCCTAGCGGCATATGTATCAAGGGCATAATGGGTTGCGAAAGTATGGATGGACAACCAGGTAGCTGGTTTACAGATCTGACAGGGGAATGCCCTGGATATATGCAGTTGATGCAACTATGGGCTCTGGTTGAGTGTGCACAAAGTTGTGCGGGTAGTTCTTTGCCGAAGGCTGCATATGTGATTCTGTTGGAGTGAGCCACTGAAAAGCCATGCCTGGAGCTGGAGAGTGTGGAGGTGTGGGTGATGGAGGAGGCCACAGTGCTGGGTGAGGAGATGCAGGAGTCGAGGGAGACGCCATGGCCGCTTGGATGACATTAAGAGCAAGTAAGTATACCACGTCAGCCTCGGGTTGGCTGAGACAATGAGGATAATGTTGGCCTTGTCCATACGACTTTTGTTCACCATTCGATGGAGAAGAGGTATTGGTGAAAAAGCATAGAGGAGTGCTATGCCCTAGTGGATTGTGAAAACATCTCCCAGGGAGTGTGAGCCGATGCCCGCACGTGAACAGTACTGCGGGCACGTTTTGTTGGTATGGGTCACAAATAGGTCTATATGGGGAAAACCCCAACATTGGAAGATTTGGTGTAGGGTGGTGGAATCCATTTCCCAAGTCCAAAAATATGTTGTCTTTGCCTGTGAGGTGTGAGGCAACTAGGGTTATGTTGTGTGCAATGCACCACGTCCAGAGGCAAACTGCTTCCCTGCAGAGAGGGTAACATCTGGCCCCTCCCTACCTGTTGATGTAGAACATTGCAGCTTGGTTGTCTGTAAAAATCTGCACAGTGGAGTTGGAGATGTGGTCCTTGAAATGCTGGCATGCGTAGAATACTGCATGGAGCTCAAGAGTATTGATATGCAGAGTTGTCTCTGCGGGCAACCATCAGGCTTGTGTGGTAAGGATGCCAAGGTGAGCTCCCCAGCCTACTTGGGATGCATCCATGGTGACTGTAGTGGAGGGAGTTCGTTTTTGGAAGGGGACTCCAGCACACAGGTTTTGTGCATTCAGCCGCTATTGGAGCGAGTTTCTGATGGTGAGTGGCACCAAGACCAGCTTGAGTAGGCTGTGTCTTCTTGGTCTGTATACTGTGTTGAGCCAGTGTTGTAGTGGCCTCATGTGTAATCTGGCATGAGGGACTACCGTGGTGGCTACTGCCATGTGGCCTAAGAGCTGGAGACATGCTTTTGTGGGTAGTTGGGGAGCTGTGCAGTGGAGCTGGATGAACTCCCGTATGGCCAGGAATCTCTGATGGGGCAGAGATGCAGTTGCGGTGGTACAATCTAATCGGGCCCCTATGAACTCTAGCATCTGGGTTGGTTGGAGTTGACATTTTGAGAGGTTTATCTGGAGACCGAGGATCAAAAGTGTTCCAGGCTGGTATTGACTGAGTTTTGTGTTTCTTGAAGGGAGTCGGCCCTTATAAGTCAGTCGTCCAGATAAGGGAAGATGGACACTCCCTGCCTGCACAGATGAGCTGAGACTACTGCCAGTACCTTGGAGAATACTCTCGGTGCAGTGGAAAGACCGAAGGGGAGTACCATGTATTCAAAGTGGTGTCCACCCACAGTAAATCTAAGGTATTTCCTGTGCACAGAGTGGATAGGCATATGGAAATATGCATAAGAACATAACATAAAAATGGCCATACCAGGTCAAACCAAAGGTCCATCCAGCCCACTATTTTCTCTGCCAATGACAGTGGCCAATAACAGGTGCCCCAGAGGGAGTGAACCGAACAGGTAATGATCAAGCCATCTCTCTCCTGCCATCCATCTCCACCCTCTGACAAACAGAGGCTAGTGACATCGTTCCTTACCCATCCTGGCTAATAGCTATTAATGGACTTAACCTCCATGAATATATCTAGTTCTCTTTTAAACTTTGTTATAGTCCTAGCCTTCACAACCTCCTTAGGCAAGTAGTTCCACAAGTTGACTGTGCTCTGTGTGAAGAAGAACTTCTTTTTATTTGTTTTAAACCTGCTGCCCATTAATTTCATTTGGTGGCCCCTAGTTCTTATATTATGGGAACAATTAAATAACTTTTCCTTATTCATTTTCTCCACACCACTCTATCATATCCCCCCTTACTCTCTTCTTATCCAGGCTGAAAAGTCCTAGTCTCTTTAATCTCTCCTCATATGGGATCCGTTCCAAACCCCTAATCATTTTAGTTGTCCTTCTCTGAACCTTTTCTAATGCCAGTATATCTTTTTTTGAGATGAGGTGACCACATCTGTACACAGTATTCAAGATGTGGGCGTACCATGGATTTATATAAAGGCAATAAAATATTCTCCGTCTTATTCTCTATCCCTTTTTTAATGATTCCTCACATCCTGTTTGCTTTTTGGACTGCCGCTGCACACTGTGTGGACGGCTTCAGAGAATTATCCACGATGACTCTAAGATCTCTTTCCTGATTAGCTGTAGCTAAATTAGTCCCCATCATATGGTATGTATAGTTGATTTTTTTCAATATGCTTTATTTTATATTTATCCACATTAAATTTCATTTGCCATTTTGTTGCCCAATCACTTAGTTTGGTGAGATCTTTTTGAAGTTCTTCACGGTCTTCCTTGGTCTTAACTACCTTGAGCAGTTTAGTATCATCTGCAAACTTTGCCACCTCACTGTTTACCCCTTTCTCCAGATCATTTATTATTAAGCTGAATAGGATTGGTCCTAGGATTGACCCTTGGGGAACACCCCTAGTTACCTCTCTCCATTCTGAAAATTTGCCCGTTTATTCCTACCCTTTGTTTCCGGTCTTTTAACCAGTTCTCAATCCATGAAAGGATCTTTCCTCTTATCCCATGACAACTTAATTTACGTAAGAGACTTTGGTGAGGGACCTTGTCAAACACTTTCTGGAAATCTAAGTACACTATGTCTGCTGGATCCCCCTTGTCCACATGTTTGTTGATCGCTTCAAAGAACTCTAATAGATTAGTAAGACATGATTTCCCTTTGCAGAAACCATGTTGACTTTTGCCCAACAAATTATGTTCTTCTATGTGTCTGACTATTTTATTATTTACTAATGTTTCAACTAATTTGCCCGGTACTGACGTTAGACTTACCAGTCTGTAATTGCCGGGATCGCCTTGATCCCTTTTTAAATATTGGTGTTACATTAGCTATCTTCCAGTCATTGGGTACAGAAACTGATTTAAAGGATAGGTTATAAAGCATAGTTAATAGTGCCGCAATTTTACATTTGAGTTCTTTCATAACTCTTGGGTCGAGAGCATCCTGGAGGTCAAAAGTTGCCAACCAGTTGTCTTTGTTGAGGGAGGGGACAATGGGAGAGGGTAACCATACAGAAGCACTGGGAAAGAACATGCTTGTTGAGGCCTCTGAGATCTAAGATTGGCCTCCATCCCCCTGACATCTTTTCCGTGAGGAAATACCAGGAATAGAAGCCAGTGTTGCGGTTCTGATGGAGAAAATGTTCCACTGCTTTGATGGAGAGTAGGTGGTCGATTTCTTGGCATAGGATAGACTCATGAGATGGGTCCCTGAAGAAATATGGGGTAGGTGGTTGGGGCTTCGGGATGGACAGAAACAGTATACAGTACCCATTCTTTATGATGTCCAGCACCCACTTGTCGAATGTTATAAGGTGCCAGTGATGACAGAACAGTACTAGGTGTTGTATGGATATCGGAGTACCATGAAGGACAGGAGGGGAGAGACTAATTTGACGACTCCCAACCTGAGCTTCAAAACGTTTGTCTATTAGAGGGCTGGGACAGGGTGGGCTGGTCAGTGGATTACCACCTTCTCTCCTGGTGCTGGCGCTTTCTCTGGGGGTACGTCTACACTACAGCGCTAGTTCGAACTAAGCTAGTGGAACGAGGTGTACAGATAGATCGGAATGGCTACGTAGTTCGAACTATCTAGCCCGTGCCGCGTGTAGCTGCGCGGTACGGGGTTCGCACTAGCCGGCTTTTAAAAATGGCAGAGCCGGCTTTATGCTAATGAAGCCCGGGAAATTCAAATCCCGGGCTTCATTAGCAAGTTCGGTATGCATACATTACCCCGCTAGTTCGAACTAGCGGGGTAGTGTAGACATACCCTAATTACTTGCTCCATTATCTTCCCTGGCACTGAAGTTAAACTAACTGGTCTGTAGTTTCCTGGGTTGTTCTTATTTCCCTGGTTATAGATGGGCCCTATATTTGCCCTTTTCCAGTCTTCTGGAATCTCTCCCGACTGCCATGATTTTCCAGAGATGATAGCTAAAGGCTCAGATACCTCCTCTATCAACTCCTTGAGTATTCTAGGATGTATTTCATCAGGTCCTGGTGACTTGCAGAAATCTAACTTTTCTAAGTGATTTATAACTTGTTCTTTTTTAATTTTATCTTCTAAACCTACCCCCATCCCACTAGCATTCACTATGTTAGGCATTCCTTCATCGGACTTCATGGTGAAGATCAAAACAAAGAAGGCATTAAGCATCTCTGCCATTTCCAAGTTACCTGTTACTGTTTCTCCCTCCTCACTGAGCAATGAGCCTACCCTATCCTTGGTCTTCCTCCTGCTTCTAATATATTTATATTTTTTCCCTTTATGCCTGTAATAGTTTGAACTCATTTTGTGCATTTGCCTTTCTAATCTTGCCCTTGCATTCCTGTATTGTTTGCCTATATTCATCCTTTATAATTTGTCCTAGTTTCCATTTTTTATATGACTCCTTTTTTTATTTTTAGATCATGCAAGATCTCCTGGTTGATCCAAAGCAGTCTTTTGCCAAAAGAAGCAGAATAGTTTTCTTTTAGGCCCTTAATAATGTCCCTTTGAAAAGCTGCCAACTCTCTTCAGTTGTTTTTCCCCTCAGTCTTGCTTCCCATAGGACCTTAGCTACCAGCTCTCTGTGCTTACGAAAATCTGCCTTCCTGAAATTCATTATCTCTAATTTGCCTTTCTCCCTTCTACCATATCCTAGAATCATCAACTCTATGATTTCATGATCACTTTCACCCAAGCTGCCTTCCACTTTCAAATTCTCATTCCAAACCTCCCTATTTGTTAAAATCAAATCTAGAACAGCTTCCCCCCAATAGCTTTTTCAATCTTCTAAAATGAAAAGATGGGTGTGGCCATGTCCTCAACCCTGATGGTGCAGTTGGGGGGAAAG